TTCATTATATAATTGTGATTAATTTAAGGGTTCAGTAAATAATTATGATGTTATCTTTTAATCTTTTTGAGTTATTATTTTGCAGTGTAAGATTATAGAGTATTCCAAATTCTAAGAATTGGCCAATACCGATCCAACACCAGTGCTATTTTTTTTCTACAGCACTACAGAATATCAATACTGTGTTTGTGGAACTAATGGTCACTCTTTTAAACCCTTTGTTAAACGCAATCCACTAAATACTCACTTCCTCATTACAGAGAAAAACTACATCTGAATAAAAATAAGCTATGAAATTAAACTAGCTGACTGTATAATTTATCAGCAAAAATAATATCTTGAAAAAAAAAATCTTTGGTGCACATTATACAATTTAAACAGTTTATTCTGTTAACTATTTGTATTCTTACAAAATACATTAATGAATATAAGATAGAAATCATGAGAAAAAGAAAGGCTTCTAATAATCTTTCTGTTTGTGATAATTCCTTCCTTCCTTAATTTAAAGTATTATAATGGGAATATATCATCTTGGAGAGAGAGTTTTACTGTGCTGACTGTCATCACCGAACGTGACGTGCTGTTTGAATGCTGAGCGGAGAACGACTGACAGCTGCAGCAGAAGGAACACAAGTTTCTGTAAACCTGAATTCTGTCCCTCACATTAAGATATGGAATGGCTTCAGATGATATAGCAGGGCTCCAGACTGCGACCATTTTTTCTGCCTGTGCGACAAAATTTTGTGTGCGTTGGTCACCGCTTTGGTCAACTCATAAGCGCTGCAATTTCTGTTGCATATGAGAAACATCAAACGAAACTAAAAGCATTACGAAACAGCGCTTAGAGAGTATACTCGCCGCATCAGCACGAGCGCGAAGATTACGCGCATATTGAGGAAACGATGGATGGTTTTCAAGCGAAAGTCAAGTAAAAGACCGCTTCTTAAACCAGAGAAGGTGAACATGCTGGTATTCTTGTGGGGGGAAAAAACATAAAAGCACTGTCACCATTAGTTTTACTTTTCTCTTTGTTTTTCATTTTTGAAAAACGTATCTTTGCTGTTTACCTCACATTACGCTATGGAGGCTCTCTTTTATTTATTTATTTATTTGATTCCTCAGTGTTTGCTAAACGTTCTGTAATTTAATAGTCGGTAGGCTATATAATACAGCATGTGGTGTGTGCCACGCCTCATCTTATTCGTTTTTGTTAATAAACGTTTTGTAAGCTAATTTGTCATTGTATCTTACTGATTTATTGTTGTTGTGCTTTTTAATTAAGAATAACAATGAATCCATCTTTTGTTTTAGTCTTAAAAAAATGAAAGGTGCGTAGATGTACGTAAGCAAAACAGTGACAACAAGATCGCGAATTCGAAAGTGAAAGCATCCGAAGCCCGTGGCTTAACACAGCAAAAGAGAAACTCCCATTTACAAAATTCTAATCACAAATAATACTACTGATGATAAAGAACGGGTCTGAGAAAGTTAGCTGCAAAAGAGCGACCAGTGGGAAGAATGAGTCTGGAGCCCTGTATAGGCTATACAGTGCATGAAAAGCAAACTGGTGCTCTTCTGTTTCTTTTGGTGTATGACTCCCCCTTGTGTCGTAAAGCACAATAATCGCGGTTGTCTGAAACAACCGCGGTTAGATCAAATAATCGCGATTAGACGGTTATTTAAACATCGCGACAAGCCTATTTGGAACAACACGAGGGTGAGTAATTAATGACAGAATTGTCATTTTTGGGTGAACTAACCCTTTAAGGCTGCACCAGACAGCCTTGTCTGTAAGCAGACTTCTCACCGCCCTGGATGAGGCCGATGACTGAGCTTGACAGAGGGGTTTTTAGAGGTGCAGTCATTTGTATACAGGGAGAAGAGCAGTGGGGAGAGCACACATCCCTGAGGGGCACCAGTGCTGATAGTGAGGGTCCTGGATATGAGTTTCCCCAGCCTCACTAGTTGCTGCCTGTCTGTCAGGAAGCTGGTGATCCACTGACAGATGGAGGTGGGCATGGAGAGCTGGGTCAGTTTTAGCTGAGAGAGGATCAGGCATGATCGTATTGAAGGCCGAACAAATAAGATCCTTGCATAATTCCCAGGTCTGTCGAGGTGTTGCAGGATGTAATGCAGTCCCATGTTGACATGTCCCAGACCTGTTTGCTCTGTACACAAACTGAAGAGGATCCAGCAAGGGTCCAGTGATGTTCTTCAGGTAGGCCAAGACCAGTCTCTCAAACTTCATGACCACAGACGTGAGAGCGACAGGTCTGTAATCATTAAGTCCAGTGATTTTGTTTTTTGGGGGGACCGGAATGATAGTGGGGCATTTAAAGCAGCAGGGAACTTCACACTTCTCCAGAGATCTGTTGAAGATCTGTGTGAAAATGGGGGCCAGTTGGTCAGCACAGACTTTTAGACAGGCAGGTGAAACACCGTCTGGGCCTGAAGCTTTTCTAGTCTTCTGTTTTCTGAAGACCCGGTTCACATCCTCTACACATACCTTAAGCGCAGGTTGAATGGTAGGAAGAGGGAGGGAGAGGGGTTGCAGGGGGGGTAGGTGGATGTGTGAAGTGCAGATCAGAGCGGGTGTGGAGTGTGAGACTGGGCTTTTCGAATTGGCAGTAAAAGACATTCAGATCGTCAGCCAGTTCTTGATTCTCCACAGACTAAAGGGTGGTGTCTTGTACTTGGTGATGTTCCTCAGGCCTGTTCAGACTGTCGCCGGGTCGTTGGCTGAAAACTGTTTTTTCAGCTTTTCAGAGCAGCTTTTTTTTGCCACTCTCATATCTTTTGTTAGTCTGTTCCTGGCCTGGTTATACGAGATTTTATCCCCACTTCTGTAAGCATCCTCTTTGGCGTGACAAAGTTTCCCAGTAAACCATGGTTTATCATTATTGAATGATAAGAATGTCCTCACAGAAATTGATATATGACATTAGTTAGATCATTAGTCCATCTTTTTACAGTCCTTATTACAGGTTTAGCTGATTTCAGTTTCTGCCTGTAGGTATAAGATGAACTAGACGGTGATCAGAGAGCCCCAAAGCTGCCGTGGGACAGAGTGATATGCATCCTTTATTTTGGTGTAGCAGTAGTCCAATATATTACTGTCTCTGGTAGGACATGTAACATGCTGTCTGTATTTTGGCAGTTCACAGGAGAGATTTGCATTATTAAAATCCCCAAGAATGATTAAAAGAGTCTGGGTACCGTTGCTGAACAGCTGGAAGCCCGGCAGATGTAACGTGTTATCTGGAATAGCTTCACTTAGCCAGGTTTCAGTGAAGCACAATGCAGTAGATTTTGAAAAGTCCTTGTTTGAGGAGAAGTAGTTCATCCGTTTTGTTAGGAAGGGATTGGAGATTCGCTAGACGGATACTAGGAAGCGCTGTTCAGAAGTCGCATTCACGGAGCTTAACCAGCGCGCCAACATGCTTCCCTCGTTTCCGTCTGAGTGCGCATTTGAATAGGACCACTGCCCCTCAGAGTAGAACATCCAACAAAGTGTCTGAATAATCAAAAACCGGAAAAATTTTGTCTGGTGTGTGTTGCCTTATGTCCAGTAGTTCGTGTCTGGTAAAACTGATAGTAAAAGAATGACCAAACACAGAACAAACAAAAACAGCAAAAAAATGGAAGAGCTCCACACCGAGGCAGCCATATGCGGCGCCATCAATTGCAACTGTTCACGTCTTTGTCAAACTCTGACCATTGTCATATAAAAATACATGCAAAATGGCCGCATAATCAACAGTGAAAGTCACGTCAAGTTTATCTGTATAGCAATTTTCAAATTACACATTGTTTCAAAGCAGTTTTACAGAAAAATAAATTCCTTAATCCCCCAGTGTTCAAGTTAAACACGACTGTGGTAAAAAAATGCATAGGATAGAGACAATCAGAGAGGATAGCTTGACAAATTTTATTACAGCTGATTTTATTCTTCTTTAATATGGAATGATAGATTAATTAATAGATGAAGAAAAAGTGATACAGTACCTTCCTGTCAACAACAAAGTCATGGAACCTTTTTAGCGTGTTAAGCATTGCTATGGAAACAAAAATGAGTCCAAGGATGTGAACATCTCAGAGTGGAGTTGTCAGATCATAGTTTTATTAATTCTGATGAGACCATTCAACCCTCTACATACACACTAAAATTAAATAATCTTTGAGAGCAAGGGGGCCCCCTGGTGTTTGGGAGGCTCTACGCAGCTTGCGTACTTTGCGTATAGGGAGGATCAGCTCTGAGTTCCGCCTACTACCAAAGGAAGCGAAATTAGCTACTGCTTGTTCTTAAAGGCTAAATAATAGACTACTTGCAATGAGCCTCGTGACACACTTCCGTGCTGTATTATTCCGTGCTGTATTTATTATTTTGAAATAATACAGCTCAGTTCTTTCCGGTTATGTATATTTTCAATGTGCTGTAATCACTGACTTTAAGCGGCTATTAAAATGAGAGACTGCGGGATGATTTCAAAAATCAGATATTTTCAGAGACAGGAGAAGAGATATTCTGATGATTACTGTGTGCAGAATTTTCCAAACTTAACGGAATGTGAAATTTTAATCTAACATAAGCCGATCTTAGAAAGCAGTGGCTGGTAAACATACGTGATTGTTTCACCACAGGGTGTCAGTGCTCTTAACTAATAGCTAGGGCTGAGCGGTATATCGAGTTTGTACGATATATAGATATTTTCGTTATAAGCAATTCGATATGAGGCAATACCGTTTATATCGATATACAGTAGTTTGATACAAGCGCATCTGAAAATATAGCTGAGGACACAGACTGAGCTGCTGCGGAGAAAGTGCATAATCCAATTTGGTCTAAACATGTGACAAGCTTCATATTGAGGCCTTTAAAAACTGGTAAGACAGTTTATAATTTTCTTTCGCATATTAGTTTGAGCGGCTCGGCCCGTCATATGCTCTGACAGAAAGGCTGTGTGTGCCGCTGACAGAGACATAGGCTACTCGCGCTGTTTAATGTTTTTGAGATGTGCTGTCTTCCTGAATGCATAACTTACATTTCACAGGTATATTCTCCGTCTGTAAATGTTAGAAAGCCATAGAAATATTTCAATTTTTTTGTCAGAACAGAAGTGCATGAGCCTTCTGCTTTGGGATTCTCCGCTAAACTTCACAGACTTCAGTGAACAAGTGCCGCCGCACACATGCGCGCAATTAACAGACAGAGCTCAATTAAATAAGAGCACAATAATTCTGACTAAAATATACATTTTGCTGAAATATTTGTAGTTGGACAATAAATGTTACATGTAGAATTTTAAACCTACAAGTCTATTTTTATGATAGCACTGACTGTAAAGTGACTGTAATGGGGTAATCAAAATAGCCTAACACAACTCTGTGCTTTTGTTC